AGCGGGCGGCGGGCGCCCTGGGGCTGGGTGTTCGGCGGGCACGGGTGTCGCAGCACCATAACCCTGGCGGCATTAGTAGTTTTGGTCACTCAGCAGAAGATTCTTGCTCATTTTGTTGCTAGCCATGGATCAAACTTAAGAGCAGTTTTTCTAACCTCAGGCTGTTAATACAAAATAAAGCTTTGTTCCGAACTGCCCTGATTTTACTTTGCTCAAACCAAAACCAACTGTCATTTTGGTTATTTTTGTATGAAACCAGGACGACGTCTCTTCTTCCTCCCCCCCCCGACTCTTGGGATCCAGCTGGGTGGGACCCAGATGCAAACCACTGCTGGTTGGGGATTTCGGACTCAAACCCACAGAGCCAGGCTTAGCAAAACCAAACCCTCACCTCCTGGTGCCCACCCCCGCGCAGCAGCCGTTGAGGGCACTGAAAGCTGCAGCGGCGGCTGTTGGGCTTGGGGGAACCACCGAGTTTGTGTAGGCGTAGGGGCAGCGAGTGACAGCGGCGAGGCGGCGGCTGTTGGGCTTGGGGGAACCACCGAGTTTGTGTAGGCGTAGGGGCAGCGAGTGACCGTCCCCTCCGGTAGACAGCGAGGCCTGCGGCTGAAGCCTGGCGTTTCTCTCGCTAGGTCTCAAACTTTTCATCAGGGAATTAGTGGTTTCACTGGCCTTTGATAATCATAATTGTTTTAAGCTATGGAAGTGGTTTTCCAAGATGATCCCCTGAACAGAATGAAGAACTATTTTACTTCTAAATGCGACAAATAACTGATTATGCGTAAAAATGTCAGACCTGATAAAGAATTGGAAGTAGACTTTCTGAAGATGTTTCAGATCATGAATTGCCACCATTTTTCATGTGCATGGTCACGGATTCCTTCTGTGGCTTGCCTTGTGCTAGCTAGCTTTGCTCATGGTACAAATGTGCAACTCATCCTTCAGACTGCCTTTATAGTAAATACAGTGCACACTCATGTGGTAGTCTAGCTACGAGAGTCAATAAATGTTACTCTTTTGCAGCTGAGGGAAAGCCAGTTGATGTAGACAGGCCATGTCTGATCACTCCAAACAGACAGTAAGGAGGATGTTCAGATGCAGTTGCTAAACACTGCACCTTTTTGGAAACAAAGCGTAAGATTTTAAAATTAAAGGTATGGGTAGATTGCAAACAAGGCTTTCAGAAAAGCAGTCTAGGGCACTCTTTGAGCCACTGGTAATGTTTCTCAGTTCTGAAATACTGGGGGACTGAAAAGACTGAAAAAAAAATCTTAGTATTATTCTGCCATCATTTAAAAAAAACTGAAGATAATGACTTGTTAAATGTGGCTAAATAAAGACCAGCCAGCCTCATGTGTGTTTTGGGCAGGTGATAGAACTGTGGAAACAAGAGTAAGTCAATGACCGCTAAAGAGTACTAAAGGAGGACAGTTTCATTATAGAATCATAGAATAGTTTGGGTTGGAAGGGACCTCTAAAGGGCATCTAGTCCAACCCCCCTGCCGTGGGCAGGGCCATCTTCAACTAGGTCAGGTTGCTCAGAGCCCCGTCCAACGTGATCTTGAATGTTTCCAGGGATGGGGCATCCACCACCTCTCTGGGCAACCTGTGCCAGTGTTTCACCACCCTCAGCGTAAAAAATTTCATCCTTATAGAAGAAATAGACTATCTAGTCTATATCTACCTCCCTTTAGTTTAAAGCCATTCCCCCTTGTCCTGTCACAACAGGCCCTGCTAAAAAGTTTGCCCCCATCTTTTTTATAAGCC